TAAAATGATAAGCTCCTTAGTGTAATTTTTTTGGTGTTAATTTCCCTGGCACTTTCTCTTGTTCAGTAAGAATTCAGCTTTTGACTGTTCTTAGGTTTTAGCTCCAAGTACTGTAGCTACCGTATACAGGTGATTCCTCCTTTCTCTGTCTTCTCAGCTTTGAAGACCACAGTTTAAAGGCAAACATGCTGAAGTGTCCCAAATAGGACAAAACTAGTCACATACTGCTCCCTGGTGGTCAACATAGGATATACACTGTTAAAAACAGAATTCCCCACCTTCTCCTCACAAAGGAAGATAGGGTAGAAATCATGTGAAACATCTAAATTACCTAATGTAACATTTGTACTTTTCTGCTCTGATAACTTAAAGGAAAATGGACTATAACATCATAACAAACAACAACAACAATAATAATACCAGCAGCATTGGCAGGGACATTGGAGGTCTTCTAATCCAACCTCCTGCTCAGGCAGGAAACCCTATATCATTTCAGACAAATGGCTGCCCAGTCTCTTCTTAAAAACTTCCAGTGTTGGAGCATTCACAACTTCTGGAGGCAGGTTGTTCCACTGGTTAATTGTTCTAACTGTCAGGAAGTTTCTCCTTAGTTCTAGGTTGCTTCTCTCCTTGATTAGTTTCCATCCGTTGCTTCTTGTCCTGCCTTCAGGCGCTTTGGAGAATAGCTTGACTCCCTCTTCTTTGGGGCAGCCCCTGAGATATTGGAACACTTTGTCACCTGTCTCGTGGGGAAAAAAAGATTTCACGAGAAATTGGAAGGTCTGACTGAACTTTTTTTAGTCCCACAAATTCTGTTTCCTTGCGGAGGGGGACCGGGCCTACCCCGCCCATCCCATCCACCATAGCATGGCAGTCCAGCTCGGAGGGGAGTGAAAGGTCACCAATCAAAGAATGGCCTGGTGGGGGGGGACCTGAAGTACTGATAAGTGGGTGTGGGGCATGTGGGGCAGCTTCACCCCTCCCCCACCTGCCTCGCCTTGTTGTAGCAGCAGTGGCACATTGTGCCACGCAGCCTCCTACCTCGAGCGGCCACAGCAGAAGTGGACCGGCAGCCACATGGGCTGCTGGATGGGGTTGTTGGTGCCACCACCACGAGGCGAGGCAGGTGTCACAAAAAATATAAGACACCCCCCAAATTAAGACCTATTGTCTCTTTTGGAGGCAAAAATAATATAAGACTGGGTCTTACTTTCGGGAAAACACGGTATTGAGCAAGGCACCAGCTATACTGTACCTGTGTACAGTCAACTATATTGACTGTAGTTCCTTTCCAGATGCTATCAATTAATTTCCAGGCACTTGTTGTTATTTTTCAATTCCACCCCCCCCCCCCAAAAAAAACCCTACAGGCTGTGTTATTTCACAGATTACCTCTTTCCATGTAAACCTGCCTGTCTCTTTACAGATATGACCATCTAGTATTGAGAATCTTCACAGGAACATGTACAAAGAGAGTTGTTTCTCATTAAAAAGAGAGAAAGATATTTTTTTTTAAAAAAAAAGGATATAATGCAACAATCGGGATCATTTTGAGATCAATTACAATCCTCTAAATATGTACATCTGGGAAAAACTTTAATTACCCTGCTTTAGAGATGTTACTGAGCATTTATAACCTTTGATATAAATACTTCAGAAAACCCAGCCTTCAATTTATTGCTTGAGTTTTAAAATACTACATTCCTGCTTAAAGGTAAGCAACACCTCTTTTATTAGCTTGATTCAGTATTGACTATTTCCCATAAAATGATCTATTCAGATTCAAAGTTCTTAGTCATATGTGATCTATAGAAGAACCTGCTAAACAATTTGGCTGTTACAATGTCTGATCTACTAAACCTACAATGTACCATATATGACTCGTTCTTTAAGAAGCTTGCACAGATTATACTGACAAGGTCGTCTTTTTATTTAGATAGGCATCATTTTTTCATGCTCAAGCTACAAAACTGAACTGGTGCATTTGAATGTGTAGCTTCCAAATGAAGGACATCCTTGGAGTTGGCTTGATTTCTTTCCCACTTAGGGTAGGCAAGAGAGACCCGTAAGTTAATACNAGGTCATCTAGTCCAACCCCCTGCTCAGGCAGGAAACCCTATACCATTTCAGACAAATGGCTGTCCAGTCTCTTCTTAAAAACTTCCAGTGTTGGAGCATTCACCGCTTCTGGAGGCAGGTTGTTCCACTGGTTAATTGTTCTAACTGTCAGGAAGTTTCTCCTTAGTTCTAGGTTGCTTCTCTCCTTGGTCAGTTTCCACCCGTTGCTTCTTGTCCTGCCTCCAGGCGCCTTGGAAAATAGCTTGACTCCCTCTTCTTTGTGGCAGCCCCTGAGATTTAAGTCTTCCAACAGTGCATCCATCACCACTGTAACTGAGTCCATCCACTTTACTGCTGATTGTCTCCTTCCCTTCCATCTTTCTCAGCATTAGAGCCTTCTCTAGAGAGCTGGATCTTCACATCATGTGCCCAAAGTAGGATAATTTGAGCCTGAACATTTGTGTCTTGAGGTTTCACATTGGGATTCCAAGATACTCCAGCTCTAGCATTTCAGACCTGCCTCGGCACCCAGGCATTGGCCTAGGTAGCCCAAGAAATGTAAGAGCAGGAGGAGTCTATGTGATGTGATGCTGTGCTTGAGATGTGCAGTGTCATAGGGTTGATTGGTTTTATTTATTCTTTTTTTAATGTAATATTAAAGTGAGCTGCTGAGGATTATTTTATATAACGTATGTATCATAAAAGTTTCTAAATAAATATTGGATTGCAAAAGTAATGGGGATATTACATAATGCAAAAATAAATAGTTGGAGATGAGCAAGCTGATTCTGTTTAGAACTCACAAATGGTGCAAATGTCTCAGATAAGACAGTCTTCAAGAACTGGATTCAGTTTGATTGCTTTTGGAGATCACCAGAAAATGTATATGTGTTTTCAAGCTCATCTCTCTTTTCTTAACTATGTTTATATTTCCTCAAGTAAATGTAATTTTATGATGTCACTTGGCTAACACACATAGCATGTTAGTGAAATCTTTATATCTAATTATTCCCCCACCACACATGCCCCCAAAACCCCATTCGCACAAGATATGATAAACATTATACCTGCAACATTTTTCATACATTACCAAGTATACAGCTTTCTTTGATTTGATAACTTGGTATTAATACTTGCAATAATAGTAATATCAATATTTCCAGAGAAACCTAGATTTTGTCCATTACAGATTGAGTATGGACATACACATCGCTAACAAGTGAATACAGTGCTGTTTATTACTATGTAATTTTAGATATTACAATAGTTCTAGACATAGTTGCAGGTGATTCTAAGATTTTAGATATTACAGTAGTTCTAGACATAGGTTTGTGTGTGTGTGGGTGGTTGGGTAGGTGTGGGTATGTGTGTAAAAGAGAAAAAGAGGGAGGGAGGCAGAGGGAGAGGGAGAATCAAGTGTATATCTAAGTATGTGCACTAATGAAGTCTAAATTTAAGGGATACTAAAATAATTTTAACTAAACAAGTCAAACCTCAACTCCTTTACTTGGTAATACAAAACTTTTAGCTGCTAGTTTCTTCCGTCCTCCCTAAACCTTAAGAATGCTAGAAACTTCTCCTGTCTGCCTAACTATAACTATAGCAAGGTTTATCCTTCTTTACTTGCTTGGTCCAGTTCCAGCACCTGAATCTCCTGGTGTATTTGCTTTGCACCATCTACAACCTTTGGGTGTATTCTCCTTTTGGCTCTCTCTTTGCAGATTCCTCCTCTGGTTCCTGGTGCCATAAGCATCTTCCCAATCTCTGCGTCTTTTGGCTGGGGATGGTCTGGTTTATGGCTTTCTCTCAGCCACTGCTTTCTCTCTTCCATCTTCTATCCTGTTACCTCACACTCCAGCAGCATCTCCTAGAAGAAAACAACACACACACACACACACACACACACACACACAAACATTTCTTTGTCTATCTGCTTTGGCTTATTTGACACTTCTTTCTTTCAAAACCTACATTCAAGTTGCAGGTGATTCTAAAAAGTTTAAACTCCCCCCCCCCTTCTTCTGTAACTGCCAATGTGCCTAAACTAACCTCTGACAAACCACCAAAGAGAAACTTTGATCTTGAAAAATGTCACTCATAACATTTTTCTGTTTCAGGGCAGTTCATCTTTCTATACCATAATGTATTTTGAGCACTGCTGTCTATGGTTTTAGTGAGATGATCACCTCACAGATTTGAGGAAACTGTTGTTTTTCCACAGAGTCAGGTATGAAGGCAATTGATAAAGTCCACATGGAACATTATATATTTCATCACATGTACGGGAGGAACTTCATGGACATTGTTTTTGCAATCCAGGGAATTTTTAATTAGAATAGAGTAACAGAGTTGGAAGGGACCTTGGAGGTCTTCTAGTCCAACCCCCTGCTTAGGCAGGAAACCCTAAACCATTATCTCCAATGACAAAAATACTATATATCACACATTCAGTACTGTAAATCAAGCCAGCTGTATGAACACTTATATTTATAATATCTGCAAAAATCATTGTGTGATCACTTTAAACTTTTGAAACAAAATGGGGCAGTTCAAACAATCTCATATTCTTCAACAAATCTATTTATTGGAAAATAAATTTAAAAAACATTTAGGCTATATATTACAGGCAAAATAATTCTAAGATTAAAATAATTGTATTGTCCTCTTGACTGTTGTTGGCAGGGTCAAAATTAAAATGTTCTCTCAGAGATGTCCTCTTCAAAAAAATGAGATTCCTCTTCTTGCAAGCAGAATAAAGATATAGCAAAGAAGTAAAGAGAGGAAAACTATAGTCTCCTTTCTCCACCCAAATTCATTAAACACTCTCTCATCACAAATCCTATGTTCAGGAGAAAGGAAAAATTGAAGCTACCTGCTCAGAGTTCTGTAATCTATGTTTTTTAAGAAACATTCTTGTTGTTTTTCCCCACAGGAAAAAGGGAATGACGCCAATGTCTGGAACAAATTACACTTTGGTGACCAACTTCATTCTTTTTGGACTCACAGATCATCTGGAAATGCGGCCATTGCTCTTTGCAACATTTTTAATCATCTATATTGCTACTCTGCTGGGGAATCTTGGAATGATTTTATTAATTTGGGTTGTTCCCCAGTTGCATACCCCCATGTACTTCTTTATTAGCAGCCTGTCCTTTTTAGATGCCTGTTATTCCACCACCATCACACCTATAATGCTGATGACTTTCTTAGTGGAAAAGAAAACCATATCTTATGCTTCCTGTATTGCACAGTATTATTTCTTTGCAATATTTGCCACAACAGAGTTCTTCCTATTGGCTGCAATGGCATATGATCGCTATGTGGCCATCTGCAACCCTTTGCGCTACACTTCAGTGATGACTAAGAGGCTTTGTATAGGATTGATAGCTGGCTCATATTTATGGGGAGTTGTGAACTCTATGATTCAAACTTGTGGTTTGTTAAGGTTGTCCTTTTGTGGCTCCAGCAGCATCAATCACTTTTTCTGTGATATCACCCCCCTTCTGAAACTGGCTTGCAATGACGTCTCTGTGAATGAGATGCTGATATTCATTTTTGGCAGCTTGTTTGAAATGAGCACCTTGCTGATTATTATTACCTCTTATATATTCATTATTACTGCAGTTCTAAGGATTCATTCCACAGAGGGGAGGCATAAAGCATTTTCTACCTGTGTGTCGCATCTCACAGCAGTGTCCATATATCATGGAACTATTCTCTTCATGTACTTCCGGCCCAGTTCTAGCTATTCCCTTGACACTGACAAAACAGCATCTGTGTTTTACACAGTAATAATACCCCTGTTGAATCCATTGATCTACAGCCTGAGGAATAAGGATGTAAAATATGCCGTGAAAAAAGTGCTTGGAAGAGAACTGGGCTCCCAGTAAATATCTCTTTTACTTTATTTTCAGAGTAAATGAACAAAAGTACCCACATTTCAGAAAAACGTGTGAAGTCTTAACAAAGAATTTCTTAAATATAATCTGGTCTGTAGATTATTAATAGAATCCTAGCAATTCTTCCATATTGCTAAATATACCTTAAAATTGACCCTCTAATAAATAAAAAACACAGCAAGTGTGTAAATTTGATAAAGTTTTTTTTTGTAGAGGAATCTTTTGGGGGCCTAATTTGCGAAGTATGCTCCAGCAATCAGGGGGATTGGTAATGCTCTTCCCTGCTCCTTGATTTTGCTTAAAGTAATCTAAGGGAGAAGGGAAACCTCTTCATAGCCCTCAATCATTTTAAATTTCACTCTAGTTTCCCTTCTGCCCTCCTCCCAATTGTACCAGCACCCACACTCACATACACAATGCAAGATTTTATACTGTATCTCTTTTAAAAGTTTCCCATATTCCACCTTAATTTCTCCCACCCACACAGAAACTGCTGATAGAGGAGATCTCCAGTCCTTGGAAATGCATTATGAAGATATGGCTCTAATGACAAGAGCATGTATGGCTCTACATGCTTTTCCATGGAAGAAAACAAGTGTTTGTACTGTAATGAAGCACATTCAATGCAATTGCCTTTTCATAATAGACAGCATGTAATTTGTTGAATAAAGCCATATGTAAATAAACTGAGAAATTACTAAAAAAAAATGTTCCTCAATATTGCTATCTTCTTCCCCTCACCTTTGCACTTATCCTGGTCTCTCATGTGTCGCGGTTTTCACACCATCTAGACAGTCCACTAACTTGGATTGGAGGATTGTTATCAAATTTGCAGTTACGAGCTTGGAGAAGCATAGTAGCCTATTTACCTTACTGTCTGCATTGAGTTGCTTTGTATTACATATGTTAACTGTCTGATACAAGGCTTTGGACATTTTTCTGGTTTGTGCTGAAAAGCAAAAGTTATAAAGAGAAGTCCCACAGTTAAATAGAACCTGAGTTCTTGTTTTTTCTTTTAAACTTCTACACATCTGTACCAGAGGAGTAAAAGATTGGAGTGACTTAAAGCAGAAAAAAATGTTACCAGCAGCATCTGAATTGGATTGGCACCCACTATTCTCCATATCATTCAGTTTCCCACCCCAGACAGAATTGTTTTGCAGGTAACTAGTAAAAGAAAACTGCCAATATATAACTCAGGTTTTTTTTTGGGGGGGGGGAGGGTGACACTTTGGCAGCATGTCATCAGTGTTGACGTTTTGATTATTTGTTCATTTGAACTCTTTAATGACATTTATCACATTATGACATGCAGCCCATTCACAATTAAAATAATATAACATCAGAAGAATTTAAAAGATAGCTCTGAGGCAAGCATAATGCATTCCTACAAGGTTTTTTAGAGGATTCCTTGAACAGACTGGGACAATTTGCCACCGCAAACTCACCGCAGCCATCTCGCCGTGGGATAACTTGCAATGGCCAAATGTGGAACAACTCACCGCAGGCAACTCACTGTGGGACAACTCACCATGAGACCAACATGCCACAGGATAACTCACCACAGACAATTCCATTTTTGTGGAAATAATGTCAAAGAAATAGTGGCACATAACATTTATCATGTTGAGTTATCCTGCATGGAATTGTCCATGGTGAGTTGTCCCGAGATGAGTTGGACACAGTGAGTTTCCTGTGGCAAGCTGGTTGCAGTGAGATGGCCACGGCAAAATGGCTGTGGCAAGTTGGCTGTGGCAAAATGGCTGCAGTGAGATGGCCAGGGCGAAATGGCCATGGTGAGTTGGCCACAGGGAGTTGTCCTAGACTCTTCCTTGAAATATTATTGAATATTGGGATTTAATAATCCAGATTCTGAGGAGAAAATATGTACACTCCCATCACATTTGTTGGCTACTCCATAAAGAAACTGTGTCTTTTCCTATGCTCGTAAAGCAAAATAATGAATTTTGTTTCAGTAGGTGATATGTGATCCAAGGTTTCTGGTTCATCTTTCTGGCTCTGAATCCATTTCAGTCCTTTGGGTACGTGATGATTGCGGATCCCTCCATGAAGATGAATGTTGTATTTGTTTTGATGGTAACATTAGTTAAATTTCATGTAAAAATAGTGAGGGCATATGAGAATCCATCACTTGGATTTGTGCTTTTGCACATTCAATGATGCCAAACAATATTAGTTTTATCATTGTAATATCTTACAGATGGGTATGAGCTTTGATTTGATGATGGCATCAAATGAAACCCACATAAATTCATGGGGATCTCTGAGAATCTTCATAAATCCAACTTTTATCTAATTTGCACAAAATCCAAGTGAACTACAGTCTTATTTCATGCATAAATTTCATACAAATTTATTCCTTTATATTATCTATTGTCTTTCACACAGAAACACACTAGCAATCCATATGTATAGAAATCACATTGCAGGATCAGAGTTTGGAACAGTGTGTTACTTTTCTTCATTGGTCTGGCATAGAAAGTCCTAAGAATGGGGCAAAATTAAAGTAATTAGATATTAGAAAGTGGTATTGGTTTGTTTATTTAACAAAAATAAGCATCAATAATTTTAGAAGTACTGCAACATTAAAGCTCCCAGAAGATAGCCTGAAATTGATTCCCTTAAGACTCTGAAGATGAAGTTACTTCAGGGATGCTAATAATTCAGTTTATTTAATGGAATAGATTCTTTCTATCATAAATCATCAAGTCTGTGACCAACTCACCTCTCCTGTATAAATCTATACTGAAAGGTGATACAGTCATTCCAAGGTCAAGGTTGATTGGTTTCTTACATTCATTCGGGATAGTGTCAGTGATAAAAAAATATTTTTGGATTGCTTCTACATTGCTCAAAGAACATAGAGAAGTACAAGAACATAAGAAAAAAAAGTAATTGAATATTTCCAGCATGATGGTCTATGGAGTTGAATCAAATGCCTGTGATTAAGAGCAGAAACTAAAAAATTCAATAACTCTACTGGTATTTTTCAACTAAAAATATTTCTTGTGTGGTAGCGAATAGCATCTAAAGGCTGAAATGAACATCATTTTAGCTGTTGCAAATGCCCAATGCTACCCTTGCAAAGGTTGGTATTTATTTATTTTCTTATTTTTAAGAATTAAAGTTTTTAAAGTGATTTATAATCATGCAAAAAGAATAATTTTCAGAACCAAATTAGGAGACAGAAAGGATTCTTAACTGTTCTGCATCTGGCATATCCTTCAAATGCTCCTTAAGCATTCCTCTTTCCATCATGAATTAAACTTAGAGCCCAATTTGCAAGAAAAGAGACTAGAAGAAGCTTAGTAGAAATGTGATATATTTATTTTGAAAAAGGGGAAGAGGAACATTTAGAAAGGAGCAGGGCTTTTTTTCTCATAGAACGCCCAGAACGGAGTTCCGGCACCTTTTTTGGATGGAACCTTGTAGGGTAGGCAAGGCGGGTTGTATGATGTGTGTGAGTTCTGGCACCTTTTTTTTTTTTTAAGAAAAAAAGCACTGAAAAGGAGAGAGGATATTGTTCTTGACCCCACCACTTTGGAGTATAAATGCTGCACAGTCTAGATCACTTTGCGCAATGGGTTATAATTACATTTAACAAATGTAGGCAGAAGATTGTGATAGCCACAAGGCAGCCACTAAATCCATCTTCTTCTGTAATCTCTGTCCTCCAAATTTGCACCCTCACACTATGGTTGTTTGGCCACCTTCAGTAATGAGTGTCTCTTTTAAGTTATTCTGTGATCCTTCTGAAAGTGCCTAAAAAATTAGTTTACTTTGGTTAGCATTCGAGTATTTGACTATCTAAGAGGTGTAGGCCCTACCTAAAGGAGTCAATCTGCTCTATGAATAGTTTATGCAATTCTATTTCTGTACAGGAATCTCAGGAACAGTTAAGGACAAGCAAATGCTCTGAGCATTTGACCTACTTGCTTAGCTCATATATTTTTGCTTGAATCCCAGAATGCTCTTTGACTCACACAGCAACAGAGTATAGTGATTTAGGATTTCTAGGCATAGTTTATTTGGGATTGGGGGAGATGTAATTCACTTGGAACAATTGGAATGATTTATATAATTTAATTAATCTTGTTAATGTGAAACAATATGTTGGTGTTAATCAGGAAAAAAAACTCCAAACAGTGCATCTGATAAATTTACAATGAAGGACAAATCTTCAAAAGAAGCCGAAGAAGCGTATACCTTTATTTTCATTGAAGCTGCACAATACTCAAAAGATCCAGGTAATCATTAATCATTTGTAATTTGTCTTAGCTTGATATAGCTATAATGCTAAAAGAAACTGCAGTTAAAATTTTCAGGTAATTTTCATTTTTTCACCACAAAAACCATGCAGGTATGGGAACAATCCTTTAGAAAAATTGCTGGGGTCATTAGGGAAAGTGCTCAAATTGTATCCTATGCTATTTGAACAAAGGGCAACTCATGACTTGCATTTTTCCCTTTGTCTCCTCTCTTTGAAGCTCTCCATGTTTCTTGAAAAACGTCTTCAAATGATTCAGAAGGACCTTCTCAACACTGTGAGTTGTGTCTTTTTTCAAGGGAACAATGGAGACAAGCACTACAGCCAGTATAATAAATAATGCAACATTATTCTACATAATTGTTGGTTAATTTTTGTTTCCTACTACAATCATGTAAGACACAATCAACAATTTGTGGTTCATCTGAGACTGTCTGAGGGATGGGAGTTCCAGGAGGAGAAAGGGAAAAATAAGATCTTTTGCATAAGCTGTCTTGTCCCTCCATCAAGCACTTTTCGTTGATATTCATCCTGTTTATATAAGAGGTATTTTTGTTTGAAAAAATACCTTTCACACAAAAAAGATCTTCCAAAAATTCTGATCTCACTTAAAAATCAAATTTTCTGCTAAGATGCCAAATCCAAACTGGTTCCTTAAAGTTTAGTTAAGTGATGCCATTCTGACAGCCTTTCTTTCTGCTTACCAGGTGCAGTGTCTCTCTAACTGATCATGAACAATTACACCATGGTAACTGAATTCATTCTTCTTGGGCTAACAGACAAGGTGGCATTTGAAGGCCCTCTCTTCATGATATTTTTTCTGATCTATTTTCTGACATTGGCTGGGAACATGGGGATGGTTGTATTGATCAAAATCAGTCCCCGGCTTCATACCCCAATGTACTTCTTCCTCAGCAATCTGTCTGTAGTTGATGTCTGCTACTCTTCCATCTTTGCACCAAGACTCTTGATGAATTTAGCACAATTTAAAATTATTTCATATGCTGGGTGCATCACCCAACATTGCTTTTTTGTCATCTTTGTGAGTACTGAGGGCTTTCTGCTTGCAGTAATGGCATATGACCGCTATGTAGCCATTTGTAAGCCATTGCTCTATACCACTATGATGACCAAAAGGGTCTATGTCCTGCTAGTAGCAGGTTCATATCTAGGTGGAATAGTGAATTCCCTCACCCACACTTCTGGCTTGCTTATGGTGTCATTCTGTGCCCCAGGTGTAATTAACCACTTCTTCTGTGATACACCAGCTATGTTGAAAATTTCATGCAGTGCTACCCATATTAATGAACTTATATTGGTCACCTTCTCTGGAATAATTGCTCTTTCTACTCTTCTGATAATTATAATCTCCTACCTGTGTATCTTGACTAGCATCATAAAGATGCGTTCTTCTGGGAATAGATACAAAGCTTTTTCCACCTGTGCTTCCCACCTAACAGCAGTCACCATGTTCTATGGGCCAGTTACTTTAAGCCATTTGCAACTCAGCTCCACGCACATTCAGCAACAAGAGAAGATCTCGGCTGTGTTCTACACTCTGATAGTCCCAATGCTGAATCCAGTGATCTACAGTTTGAGGAACAAAGAGGTAAAAGATGCCTTGAAGAAAGTGATTAATTTTCAAAAAGAATAAAGTTTTTGCTGCCCTGGGATGGTTTAGAATATTTTTTTAATCCTATGGGGGAGTCTCATTGCAAAATTGGAAGGAAACTGATAGTTTATTCAATTTACACATATGATTCTCCTAATTAAAAAACAATTTGAAAATCAATCAGTGTGGAAAATTCAAATTACAATTTTTTTTGATAATGCTAGTGGATTCTGCCTAGGCATATATGATGTATACATAGAAGGGAGAAAGACTGCCTCCTCTTGTGATATCCACCCCTTTTCTTTATCCATCACTTATAATTTATAATGCTGTCTCCCATCTGCCAAAACAAGGAAAAAAGAAATTATTTTAAAATAATTTAATTAATAAATTAAACTACACATTCATTCCTGTGAGTTCTCTCCAGCAACTGACTCTTTCATTTCCCACCGACTCTGTGAAGCAATAGAGATAAGAAAGCAGTCAGAATGAAACCCTTGAATCTCATTCTTCACACAAGCAAAGTGAACATGCAAACCTTCTTATGATTAACTGTTTGATCAATTTATACAGCTACCCATCTCACAATTGTGATGTCATGCATAGGGATAAAACCAAACAAAAAGTTACAGGCGACTTCGCTGGACGCAGCTGTTTGCTGCTCCCGCCTGTTTCCGCGTAAAAGCCGTTTTGACAGCCTGCATCAGCTGTCAAACGGCTTGATACCTTTCCCCTGGGCATAGGGGGATAGGTGAGCTGCCCGAGGTAGGAGTTGAGTTCCCGAGTCGTCCCTTGTGGACGATGTAGGTGAGAACTCCTCCGGAGCCC